TGTCCACTATAATGCAACAATTCTAAATTAATAATACGAATAAAATACACAACCATAAAATGTGTTAGGCTTTGTCTGCAAACACCTAAGGGTTAGGCTACTTTTCTAAAATTTCACTACACAATTGGTTTTATGTACAGCTGCAGTACTTCCTGAACTTCAGCCAGCTCCTTTGTTTCCTGTCTGCCATTATTGGACAAACTGATTAATCCAGGCTCTTATTATTGATAAGTTCTTCTGCTAATTGATGGCCACAGAAGATAATGGGTTTTCTACATAGCCACCCAAAATGAAAAGACTGACCTACACTGATTGTGTAATTGTGTACCGCATGTGTTGGAATACAATGGGATCGTAAAGTCTAAGAATCCAGTTTAAGAAAAGGTTTTAGCCTGTATTAAACAACCACAAACTCAATATTTTGCTTTCAAAATTTCAGGATTTACACTCTTTATTGATTGGAATTATAGCTTCCTTCTAGTAGAGATTACAGATACACCAACACCAGTCCTGTTCATGTAAGCTGGAATGATTAATCAATTTAGTTAACTAATAAAATCCACTGACATTTGTATCAGTGATTAAGTTAATATAATTGATTGTAGTCTGTCAGCCCAGTCTTATTAACAGGCTGGTTATAAAAGCTGTGACACTGAAACTTTACATAATGTAAACCACACAAAAGACAACATGTACTTGTACAGGACAACGTGTACATGTACAGGATCCTCAATTCTCAACATACTATCTTAAATAAGACGTCTGATATCAGATTTAGCTCTTCAATACAATATTCATTGTATAATGTAGCCTTTTTTGGAGGCAAGTGGGTGTTCACATTCATTTCAGATGATTCACTACTCTTTTTTCACTTTATTGTTGTAATTCTGATTAAGACATTTTAACTAAACATTGAAACTAAGTCTTGCCTCTTTCTCTTAGTCCTCAGATGGAGTAATCTGTCCAGCTGGAACATGCAGACCTGAAAAGTGAAGATGAGTGGTGAAATGCAAAGTAGCTGCCCAGTATAGAGGCAGGTATGCTCCCCATGGGCTCATAATGAACCGTGACACCTTTTCCCACATCCGGCTGTGGTGCCCACGCCCCTTTGGCACCTACTCCCAGAATAAGCTGTACAGCAATGGTACAATTCGTAATGGAACAACAACCACCCACTGCAAGGCTGATGATTCGGGGCTTACAACATTAGAGACCCATGTAGTCGGTGAGGAGCAAGATGAGGATGTTGGCACTGAAAACACCCCACCAGCTGCTTCATCTACCCTTCTGGCTCCACCACTACCTGCACCACCCTCTCCGAATTCACAGATGGAGGATGGCAGGGTACTGCTTGATACCTGGTATGTCATCAAACCAGGCAACACCAAGGAGAAAATTGCCTTCTTTGTAGCTCACCAGTGTAATGGTGCTGGAATTCCTAGGCCTAGTGCCATGAAAGTCAAGGGAAACTGGGCTACCGATTGTACCAAGGCCAAGCGCCGTCGTCGCTGTTCCTCTTATGACCCTCCCACTAGAGCTCAAAATGTTGCTGTTGATGTACCCACAGAATCCAACTTGGTGGAGGATGGTGTTGGAGTAAGCGAGACAGATCTGCTCTCTGTGGCCGAAATGGTGGCCCTCGTAGAACAGCGTACAGCCTTGGCCCTTCAAGGTATGGTAGCGCAAGGACAAACTAGTCCTTATACAGTCCATCAGAAACCTGTTGTAATCCTCTCAGAGCCCCCTTCATCTGCACCAACCACTCAAAGTGACTTTGATTTGCTGCAGCAACAGCAGGAATCCCGACGGGTTGCTCAGGCTGTTGCACAGTTTGAATCTCGGCAGCAGAATCTTGACAGTACAACTTTGCGGCCTGAACTGAATGGTTCAGGAATAGACGGCATTCACACTGGTGAGTCTGTGGGTGGTGCTCCAAGCCATGGACGAGGGGAAGTACGGATTGCTTTTCGAGTGTCAAGTCTGGACCCTCGTACCCAGTCTGAGCCTGTTGGCCGCCCTAAATGCATGTTTATGAGTTGTGGAGTCGGAGGGGGGCAAGCAGGAGCCAGAGGCAAAGAAAAGATCACTTGTGACCTCTACCAACTGGTTAGTCCCTCATCTCGAGATCCAGGTGCCCTCCTTGCTGGCTCACCAAAGGCCGATCCCCTTGGGGAAGGTATCAACGATAGGCCTCCCTCCACAACGTCAGATCCTAACCAAGACTCTGCCTCAGGAGAGAAGGCAGCTGTGGGTCGAGAGCGGATGACCGGCTTCCACGTTGAGGTTGTGGTCACGGGTGCAGTAGACCAATGTGTCTTCTATGGGAAGGACAGCACAGAGAATGTTCAAGAAGAGACTGTATGTTTTGCTTTGCCTAATGGGGCTAATTCAACTGATTCCTCAGAGGATCCACCTCCTGGCCAGCTGTTCTTTCTGCAATCACCATCTACTGAAGATGAAAGTTGCTCAACAGTAAACAGTGGGATGCTGTCTTTAGACTGTGCAAACAACAATGGGCAAGTGGGGCCTACTGTCGAGAGGCCAGACTCCCCACTGACAACTGTGGATGACTGTTCTGATCCTCCGTTGTGCCGCCTCTACCGACATGTCTCCCATGATTTCCTTGAGATTCGCTTTCAGATCCAACGGCTTCTGGAACCACGGCAATACATGCTTTTGCTTCCGGACCACATCATGGTCAATATCTTCAGCTACCTGCCCACCCATTCGCTTGCAGCACTCAAATGCACCTGCCATGATTTCAAGACCTTGATCGAGACCTACGGCGTGCGTGCTACAGACTCTCGCTGGAACCAGGACCCGTTGTACCGTGATGACCCTTGCAAGCAGTGCAAGCGGCAGTATGAGCGGGGAGATGTATCGCTCTGCCGCTGGCACCCTAAACCTTACCACCATGACTTGCCTTATGGACGTTCCTACTGGATGTGTTGTCGGCGCACAGATAAGGACACACCTGGTTGTCGAGTTGGGCTACATGATAACAATTGGGTACAGCCATGCGAGCTGGTTCAGGCCCGCACCAAAAGAGACGATGGGAGGTAAAGGACTGAGTCAGGATTGTCCTTTCTCACCCTGCTTTTGCTCTACTGAAACCTCATGCCACTGTACTATTTATGGTTGCGCTCGCCTCTTCTATCTTATCTTGTTAATCTTGCTATCATTGTCAGTATCAGTTCTTATCAGTGCACCATACTTTATTCTCGGTCCCTACATAACCAGATCAATGTTTTGAAATTTGAAAACCAATGCTGGTTAAATTAGTTAGTCTGCTGCATGGGACTAGTCTTCACATGTACTTTAATTGGTTAGAAATTCTTACGGCTTGGCAATCTTCCAAGATAAGCTCTGATTCTGACCCCAACCCCCCAAAAAAACTGCAGGCTAGACAAAGGACTGTGAGTTTAATGTCAGAGGTTGTGGTCAAGTTTAATTTGCTGTCCCTTTGGTCAAAACCGTGCAAAATTATGTCACTTTACAAATCCAAAATCCATGATGTCACTTAGTAATCTACAGTTTGACTGCTTGTTAGATTTTTCTGTTTTGTGTGAATGTGAGTGAAATAATTTTTTTGTTGTTGTTGTTGGACTTAATTTTTCCCCTCCTTCAAATTGATTTATGAAATCAGTCTTTATTTCTTGACCAAACCTCTCCTCTTACCTATCTCTTTGCCTGCCAGGCTGTCTGTGTGCTTGTTGGCAAAGGAAGCTTTTGCCAAAGCAGTAATTAGCTTCATGTGGCTGAAAGAACAACAAAGAACAGGACCACTCAAAACCTGATTCTAGCCTTAACCCTGTTCGTTCTGCTCATTCCATCAGTCTGTGAAATCTTGCAAACAGAAACATTGATGCTGATCCCACTGGTTTGGGAGACCGTTCTAGGTTTCACCGTCAATCTGCTATTGGGAATTTTTGCCTCTAAAATGAATAAAAGATATTTAAAACTGGTGTCTGTGATTTATCATATTTTCTTGGTATTTCAACAGTGAAATATTTTTGTTTGTAAATAATTCATAAATTGATTATCTTGTTACATTTTTGTTTTCTGCAATGTACATGGTTTTTATTTGTTTTGGATATGGTCTTAAAGGGATCACCCAAAAATGTCAATTCTGTCATTTACTCACCCTCAATTTGTTCCAAACCTGTATGAGTTTCTTTGTTGAACACAAAATATATTTTGAAGAATGGTGGTAACCATTGACTTCCATAATATTTTTTTTTTTTCTATAGAAGGACCATATGGATTACCAACATTCTTGAGGGTGAGTAAATGATAACATTTTTGGTGTTCTATCCCTTTAATAAAAAGTGCACTTTGAAATTTTTGGTTCTCTGTTACCATTTGTGGTTAAAATGTAAAATTGGATGTTACTTGGGAAGGCGCTCAGTTGGTTGTGATTTGGTACTAATTGGTATTGTTACATATTTTATGTGTATATAGGAACTTTTATTCCTTTTTTTTTTTTTTTGGCTACTATAATGGTCCAGTGCAGAACTTTTGCCAAGCTTGTCAGAGGTTCTGGGTTCTAATCCGAAAGTATAGTTTTTTAAAACCGATTGTGTTTATCAGTGGTTATATATCAAGCAGGGACATGTTTGTGTGCAGTTTGTTTTTTGATTTCACCGAATAGAGTCTCTCCGCAACCGCAAAGGATTGAAGCGCGTGTCCGTGTGAAGACTGCGCTAGCCACAGGAGAACACTGTAGCCTATGTACCACTGATCGCAGCTGCTACAAGCACTTTAATCACTTGATTTAAAAAACTCATTTTAGCAATTGATCGCCTCTTAGTTAACAAACAAAGTAAATGAATGCTCTGCTAGAGTTAACTGGAGATTTTTTTTGTATTGATAAGTGGTGGGGACATGTCCCACCCGCAAATTACGCCTCTGTGTCAATCAATCCGCAACATGAGGTATCTTGTCTGACAGTGTCAGCATCTCGAAAGTTAAATCCAACATACCAATCCAATTATCCTCTCTCTTTTTTAATTGAACGATGATTTTATTGCATTTTCAGTGATCCATTTAAAGTACTGTTTTCACACATTGTATCAGGTAGATGTTAGTCAATACCAGATTCTGTAGACTTGTGAAAATTCAAAGATTTAAATCAGTGTTTCCCAACCCTGGTCCTAGAGGACAGACTTTAGATGTTTTCCTTATCTGGCACTCATTTCAGCTATCTCTAGTAACAAACTGATGAGTTGAATCATTTGTTTTTGATTAGGGAGACTCTAAGAACCTGTAAGGTAGGAAAACACCAATTTATGCCTCATAGTCAGTATTTTCCTCTCATGCATAGTAACCCCAACAATAAACAGCCACAGTCATCATTATTAGCCCATTAGCATTGACTATGTTCTTCCAAAGTGGGTCTTCACTTATGTCAGGTAATTGTTTTGATGCTTCTGCCACTTCCTCCTCTGTAGGCTCTGGAGCCTGAGCATCACTTATGCCACAAATCCAGCCGATAATCTTCATCATTATGGATCGGTCACCATGTTCAACTATGGCAGAGAGTAAAGATTATACATACATATAATACACACAACACATAATCCATACCAGTGGTGTCCAATCCTGCTTTTGGCCAAAGTTTTGCGCCCCCCAATACATTCGACTGGAATGCATTGTCCAAATTCACATAGTTGATACTTATATTGAATAAGTAATTACTTAATTACTTGCTTTAAAAAAGTATTTTTAATATAGTAAGAGTGTGTGTATGTAATTAGTTTTACTACATTCGCCATGCTGTCATTATCATGTGACCTACCAGTCAGTTGTGTCTCTTCAGTGCCATTCACAAATCGTCTTCAGTTGCCTCATGGGATAGTAAAGTGTTCCTTGAATGCGCACTTCAGAATCTCTCCGGAAATAGTAGGTTATATGAGTACTCTGAATTTGGACATATAACTTTTGTCAGTCACATTCTGTTTTTTGCCTATACTATATAGTGGGGAAGTATGCGATTTCAAATGCGACCGAAGATCTTGTTTCAATTTTTCAGCTGTTTAATTAGGATTGAAGCTGAACTCTCTAATAACGGCCCTCAAGGAGCAGGATTGGACACCCCTGACCGCATTCAAAATATAAATTTTATCTACAAAATGTTAATTTCTCTCAAATAAATGATGCAACATGTCATCTTACTTTGATTCTCATCAGTTTCGGCCTTTTCCTTTTCATCTGCCCCTCTTCGTGCTTTCCTTCCCCGTTCCTCCTCTTCCCAGTCCAGATCGACCCTTTCTTCTTTAGAATAGCGCATGGAAAAGACAAGGCGATGGAGCTTGACAAAGAGAGCAAGGTAAATGTTATTAATAAATAGAAGTCATTTCTATTTAAAAACAACTTAGGTTAGAATCTTTATTAATCGCCTTTAAGGATTAGTTCACTTCAAAGTGCATTACAGCACAATCAATCCATACAATAATTACACAGCTTCATTAACTTACATGTTTGTCCTCAATGGGTGGGGTGTTGTAGCTTACAAACAGCACTAGAATAGTGGTGCAGAAGAAGAGCAGCACTGCAAAGTAAAGGTAATGGACTCCACATATACTTTTTGGGCATTTGGATGGATAGATGCAGTTTCCAGAGCCATATACAAATTCGGGTACCATGCGACACAGACCGATAACCAGTCCTCCCATCAGGCCCCAGAAAGCCCCCTTATTAACAAAAGGTGAGGATGCAAGCTTTTACTCAATTTGTGTTGCAGGCATTTGATAAGTTAAATGAAGACTAATATGTACAAAGGAGACACTTACTGACTCATTGACTCTCTTCACAAAAACAGCAAGGCAGAAGACCGCTGCAATTGGTGGAGCTAAGTAACTAGTCACAGATTGAATATAATCAAATAGCTGACCACTCTGGGCTGCCTGGACAACTGGGATCCAGCAAATGCTAATGGCGACAATGCAGAGTATCCACACCCTGTTACAGAATTTAAAACGTGTTCAGTTCATGAAAATCGTAGAAAAAAATGTTATATGTTATATGCTGGACATTAAGGTTAAACTTAAAGTACAATTAATATTTATAGTAATTAAGCCAAGGTAACACAATAAGGTTTCATTCATTAGTTCCGTGTAAATAACGCGTGACATAGACGCGCGAAAGATCACTTCCGGCGTGAAGTCTGGACTGGAGACGGTTCAGTTCGGTTCAGTTGGACATCTGATTCAGATCAGTTCGACGGCAAGAGGTAAAAACTATATATTAAATACTGTTCGTTTTCTCACACAAACCGCTTGTTTTGTGTCTTAGGCCATCAGTGTTACATTCATGAGTCATTAAATCATGTTTAATTTTGACTTCTCTGTGCATGCTCTTTGAGGTGGACCCCCTAAAACTGCTGACAGACAACACCGGTTTGACCGAAAATTGTCAAAATTGAAAATACTGTGCAAACAAAGACACATCTTGGATGCCCTTGAGGTAAGCTAATATATATCAACAATTTATTTCAAAGTGAACTATCCCTTTAATAAAATTGTCCTGTACTTCTTAGAAGTTCCCACATTTATTGAAATTTAGGAGTTGGTTTGGAAATGATCAAAAACTGATCTTATTTCAGTAGGCTCCATTTAAAAAGAAAAACGAGATAACGTTAGCTAACCCAATCTCACGAGAGAACGTGTATTTTTTATGCTTTGGCGAATTGGTGGAAAATTCTTTGGAAATTTTAGAGGAAAAAAAGCAAGCATAAAAGTCCACCCTTAAACGCTAACTGTCATTGAGGTCTAAGAAGAATTTGCCACAAATGAAACGAAACGAAAGTTATGAATTGCCATGAGAATGTTGATGAGATAACAGAGATAAAGCAAAGTTTCTCAAAATGACTATTATTGTATTGTTAAAGACAAAGAATTGGAACAAGTCCTGTTAAATTGAGGAACTATTGGTAAAGATGCTAATGCGCTCTATAAGTATAGCCTCATTTTAAAACAGTATATTTTGACCATACACAGGCAAATCGTGACTGTGAATCAGTCATTAATTAGTGTGATTTAACATATATTGAATGGTTCCAAACCTTCCAACAACCATAAGCTCTTTATCTCTAGCTTGAGGCCGGATACGAGTCCAAATGTCCATGGTGAACAAGGTGCTGCTGCTGTTGAAGATAGATGCTAGTGAGCTCATGAGAGCTGCTAACATCACTGCCAGCATTAAACCTCGGAGACCTGTTTAGGGATCGATTACATAGAAAAAGGATTGAGAGCAAAAATTAAGTGTAACCCAAACAAATATTTTTTTTTTGTAAAGGTATAAAGGATAATAATTAAAAACCTGTTGGCATTACAGAAACCACTAGTTTGGGGTAGGCAATGTTGGAGCAGCCAACTCCTGTGCCACACACTTCGTTACAGATGCTTGGCTCCACACAAGCTACTTCATCTGAAAATTAGTTTTATTATTGATATTCTCTGACCAAAATTGTAATTATAAAGACATGTGGTATTAAATATGTTCATACTATTAAAATACATACTAGGGTAAAGCACTCTGCTGATCATGCCTGGAAACACCATGAGAAACATAGGGAGCAGTTTCAGATAACCACACAATATGCATCCTGCCTTTACATGTGTCAGACTGCGGGCAGCCAAACAGCGCTGGACAATTACCTGCATAATACAATATGTAATGTGAAGAAATTGAGCAAAGAAGGCAGAGTTATATATTTATAATTATTTAAACACTGTCCTCACCTGATCAGTACACCAGTACCAGCTACCAACAATTGCGATGCCAAATAACACACCCGGCCATGGCAGGTCCCCAGTAATGGGATCCCTAAGCAAGTGAAAGGCATCCTCTCGTGGAGTGTAACAATGTTCAGAAATATTATATTCCAGAGGGTGTAGGGAAATCCTCTGAGTTGGTAAAGATAAATTATACTTTTCCAGTAAAGCATTGTAACCTCCAACTTCATGGAAGGCTGTTGACAAGAAGGGGACAACACAAAGGCCAGTTTATAATATAGCTTGTTTAATGAGTAAAGTATTTTTTTTTTACTTTGTAATATTTTGTTAAGTCGACTTTTGCAAATGCTCGAGGGAGGACTATGATTTTGAAACAAGATCTGACCACATTTTCTTTTTAAACTGTAACACAATTGTGTTTAAGCATGAACTGAATATTTATAAAAACAACATATTTCACTTTTAAAAAGTTGTGCTACTACACTACAATTTCTTTTAACCCTAAAAGACAACTTGTGATTCAAAATATGGATAAAACACCTGTGAAAAATCAACACAGATAATTTCTTCATATTAACATTATACATTGGGCTGTGATTTTATGGACTTTTCTTGGATTGTTTAAGTCAAATTAAGTCAACTAACCTTTATTAATATAGTGCTTTTTGCAATACAGATTATTTCAAAGCAGCTTTACAGTATATACAATAACGCAACAAAGTTTGTTTCGGCTGTACAGAAAATCTAGAAGAAAATAGTGTCATAGTCCAGCTTAAGTTCAGTAATAGTTCATTTTTGTTGTAAAAAAGTGATTTATTTAGTTCATTTATCTATACAGCCGCTCTGGAGAAACCAGTGAGGTCTTCGTCCAGCTCAGTTCAGTTCTCATATAATGGTGTCCATGCAGGCAGATCTATTATATATATATATATATATATATATATATGAAGAGTTCAGATGCAAAAGCCTCTAAATGCCATTTGAAATTTTCTTCTTTAATGATGATTTTTATCAAACTTGTATGTTTAAGTTCAGTAATTTCACTTAAATAACAATTAATAGGTAATTATCATTGCCATTTAAGTGAAATCACTGAACTTAAATATACTGTACAATCTTGATAAAAATGATCATTCTAGAAGAAAATTTCAAATGGCACTTAGAGGCTTTTGCATCTGAACTCTTCATATATATGTGTATATATATATATATATATATATATATATATATATATATATATATATTATTATTATTATTATTATATTGTTAAATATTAAATGTCCCCAACTAAGTGATTAGATTTAATCATTTAGAAGATCTTTTTATCCAAAGCAACTTACAATTATATGTAGCAAGGTTTAAAAAAAGAAAAAAGAAAAAGAAACAATGTTAAGGGGGGGTTAAGTATTATTATTAATGGGTCAAGTGTTCATGGTGGTTTTCAGTGGTTAGATGGCTAGTGCTTAAACTTAGTTGATGTTTAACTCAGAAAAAAACAACCATCAAGAAGTGAATGTGCTGTCCTACAGGAATATGACATTGACTAGTATTGTATGTAAAGTGTCATCAAATTACAAGCATGAATGGATTTTGAACTCCAAAAAGTTGGTACTTACAGAATCCCATGAGGACAAAGGCTCCAGCAATGATAACAAAGGTCTGGACAGTATCTGTATACATCAGCGCAGCCAGTCCTCCTACAGAGACATTGCATGTCGTTTGCAAGACATTTTGTGGGCCTCAACAAATGAGATAATTTGTCCCTAAAACGCTATACAACAACATTAGTATAATGTCGCTGTACCAATACCAAGCTCATGGGTTCGATTCCCAGGCAATGCATGAAATGATAAAATGTAGTCTTTGATTAATTGGATGTATACTGTCTGTTAAATGTAAATGAAATGAGATGGATCAGTAGCTGATTTTACCTGTGATAGTATAGAGTGCTGTTATGCAGAGCAGAGCAATCACTGCAACATAGATATTCCAGCCGAGAGCCTGCTGTATGAAAACCGCTCCTGAGAACATGTCAACCTATGTTCAGCGAGGAGGACAAATTAATGAGTTGGTGCGCTTTTGTGGAAAACATCTCATTTGATTCTATGTCGTTTTTTTCTATTGTCTGGATATGATTTTATACTTACAGAAATCTTTGTGAAGATGTAAAGGAAAAGTGAAATGACAGAGAGATACAAGCTAATTCTAGACCCTCCAAATCTTTTCTTGAGGTATTGTGGCATTGTAATCACCTTTAAAAAAAAAAAAGAAAAAAGGTATGTTAAGGCTCTTTCACTTCGATTATTCAAATAAACATTTGTCATCTAAAATATCCTTGTTATGAAAAACGAACATACCCCTGCGGTCAAATAAATAGGGACGAACACCCAGCCCAACAGCAAAACAATAAATAATGCCTGTGAAATAGGAGAATTTTTGATGGTATAAACAAATTATTGGAATCACAATCTAATCCAAATTACACCAATGATGTTAAAATGTCCAGCTTACGTTCCATTCAAAACCCCCAACAGCTATTCCACTTGCAGCCGCTGTTCCTGCAAGGCCAACAAAATGACCACTGCCAATGTTGCTCGCAAAAAGAGACGTTCCCACCTTTGTGTGTGATGTGAGGGGAAATAAATACATGGAAATGGTAAACAAGCTTTAAATAAAGCACTGAAACCTTTATATTATTTGGTCAGCTATTTGAGGAAAGGGTCGATATTGCCACAAAACTGTGACACTTAACATCTAAACGACAAATTAATTTTTTTAATTAAACATTTAATTTGAATAAATAAAGTTAGTACTCACAGGCCACCACACCATGGTCCGACCTGCAAGAAAGTAGCCGCCTACTGTGCCACGATTAGTCCTAAATGAAGACTATGATGAAAAAAAAATTTTTTTTTTACATAAATTTAAAATGTAATTCAGCTATTTTGGTACTTTAAAACACCCCAAAACAAACCTTTCACCTACCCAAATTCCTACTGCAATAACCACCAAAAAGTAGCCAATGATCACGCTGATGTCACCTGCATTGTTGATGGCTGCATGTTTCGCTGTAGTGTTTTCCATTTTTGAAGGCAGACAGACACGATGCTAATTTCATTTGAGATGACAGGATATGAAACAAACACCACTGATGAAGCACTTGAGGAGAATTTTATTCTTATAGGATTTGAGGGTAAAATCCATGATCTTTGCCCACCTTTGCAAAAGGGCTGATGAAGGAATATTATTAACGACAATAATTAACTTATTACTAGCCACTCAGGAAGGACTTTAACAGTTTTAAGCATTAAATGTTGCTTAGCTCACTGTATACTGTGGTACTTTCTCTTGAAAAACAAAACAAAACAAAACAATGTAGTTCTTATATTATTCTTAAATTACATAATTTAAAAAGGCATATGAGAAAACATTTGAAGAGAACCAATTCCTTGTTAGTGTAAAACATTTAAGAGTGTATGTACATTAACTATAGGGTTTGGTTTAGTGTTAGTAACATGAAATTATGCATATTTTACTGTTATTTGTATAGTAACTACATGCAACAAAGACAAAATAGTTACCATTTTTATTTTACATAAGTAGAAAAACATATTTCTTTTATTAATTTTCTTAATTTCTCTTAAATAGCTTGTTTGAACCATGTTTGTGTTTGACACCAATGTATAAAACCTACAGTAATGTTTAGTATTTATGGTTTTAAAAATACATCACTGATTAGAATAGTCACTGGTCTGTTAGTTCCCCAGCAATACAGTTCACACCTTATTTGGAAATCACTAAAAGAGGAGGGAAAAAAACATTTTATGGCGTGGTTAATAATCCTGCACTTTGGTGTGTGTGACAGTATCACTACTTTACTCATTTTAAATGCCACAAAAATTCACCTATATTCAGAAGACAAGCCACAAAAAAACGGATGTATGTTCAATTTATTTTAATGAAAACCAGAGCACAGACTTTCCATTCAAACAACGTTCAATATTTGACAATTCTAGGTCTTTAAAACAAACAGACCTGTTTGACATCAGATGTAAATACAGAGTCCTTTTTGTCTCTGAAAAAAAAATGTTACTGTAAGACAAAATTACAATAACTTAAAGATTAAAAGAACAATGAAATCATACAAAAAGCATTCATTTGGTTTCTATTGCGATTCTATGTTAAAAACATTTCAGATGAGATGACCAGCTAAACCCAAAAAGATGCCATTAAAGCACTACTGACACGTTTACTGATCCACTTCATTGAGGGCAAGCTGAACAGTGCGTTACAACAACGTGCAGAAAATCAATCACTGTCATAATTAACTCAAACCTCCAGAGATGTTGTAGTGGACACTACAAAAATCACACATGATACTGAAGGACTGTAACATAGACTGTGTTAAATGTTAAGACTCATGTTGTGTTGCATTATTAGTCAATGTTAGTTCAGTCATATGAGATTTAAAAAGAGAAATTTCACTCCAAGAGCCAGTGTTGCATTTCTTGATTTCACTTGATATCTTAAAAAAAAAATTTCAGGACTGGTATTGTAATGCATTTCCAAATATCATATCACCTAATTTTAACATCAGTAAAGATACAGTAGAATTTGCAACACAAAGTTGAATAAAAAAAAAAAACGTTTTTAACAGCGATTATCATCTGGGTTTCAATCTCAGTTATGTATGTATTGTATGTAAAATGAAATAATGCAAAAAACAATTTGCAAATAAAATGTCTAAAGAAAAAAAAAAACTTTCATTGCTAACCCTGACTGGCCAAAAAAAAAAAAAAAACAAAAAAAAAAACAGGGGAAGTCATTCCTTAATGAAATGTAATAAATTACTTTTGGTTTAGGATGCACAGATAAAATGCTCTTAAAAACATTGTATGCTAGCGATCATTTGCCAGATAACATTTCAGACTAAGCAGAGCAACATGTTTTACCTAAGAAATGTATCCAGTCACATGACTTTAACCCTTTCTCCGCCATTGACTGAATTTTCTGGCTTTCCGTGTTTTCACTGTCATATGGTAGGGGGATGCTATTACACATCTTCTGAAAGAGTACACAATTTCTGGCTCAAAACACAGGCAAAGAAGCTGAAACAAGCCATAGCATATGTAAGCAGATGCATATGTAAAATAACGTGATCATCAAAATTAAACAAACCAAACATTTTGTTATAAAAAGCAGAGGGTCTGTTCATTGAATATATCGCATGTTTAAATATTCATACAACAAAATATTCTGGGGGCCAAGAAATTTTTCTAAAAATTACCAAAAAAAAAAAAAAGCTGGCGGGCAACATTTTTAAAATACGATGGCGGGGAAAGAGTTAAGGGAAAAGCCGTGTCTTTCAAATACACAAACAATTTAATCTGTAAATGTTTTTCAATCATTGTTTCTACGTACATTATGGATATTTTATTCGCATAGTGGTTTTTGCATCCAGTATTTTTAATGCAAATTGTGGGATACCACATTAACATGCTGGTTGATGGAAAAATCTCATGACATTGCTTAATAACGTTTTAATATAAGTGTAATTTGTCACCATCGTCATTAAAAAGTAAATTAAAAGACAGGTTTTAGAAGTTTCTTCGACTGTTTAAAAGCGAACCCATATTAAAGACCTATGACTTTACAGTAGTATCCACTGCTGTAAGGGTAGCAATCTTGATGTTCTAATCCATGTAAAACTATACTCATCCTCACAAGAATAGCTTTAAGCAAAAAATTCAAATAAACTTCAATGACTTTTTATTCATTGAGTCAAGCATCTTTACAACCTGTTTTTTTTTTTTTTTTTGCTGCGATTCAAATATTTAATTATTCTCCAAGATTGCTGTTTCCAAAAGAAAAAAAAAATAGAATTTTATTAAGAGCAAAAAATCTGGAAATCATATCCAATTATGATGCATATTTTCTGTCAACAATTAGTAAATGAAAACTTGCGTTCAGCTTGCAAAAATGAAAAAAAAAAAAAATAATTTTAAAACATCTAGACATCAACTAAGAGTAAAGATGTAAAAGTAGGTGCATAAACTTGTCCGAAATGCAGATTTGTCTCTTTGAAAATCACACTTCCTGATTCGCCCTGTTGATCCGCATGACTCTGCATGACCGGGTCGGCCGTTTCTCCTTCCCCCGTTTCTGTTGAGCAGTCCGAAGACGTGCTAAAATGTGTTTTTTGGGAAACTTTAGGGTAGTACACCCAAACTGGCTAACTCCTCCTGTATCCCCTGGCAATTTCTCCCGTCTTTGGACCCAGCTTCTCCAGCCAGGTTTCCAGCAGTAGACGCTATCATAAAATCTTGATCCGTTCTCACCACCCAAAACGTATATCCTGCGTTTCCATCTAGCCACACCGCCGGCAGCAATGCGCCTCGGCAGACCCGGGAAAACCACCGGACTAGGGGCACGGTCGCTACCACCACCCCCTCGCTCTACTCCAACCGGGACCTCCCGCTCCACTGCAGATCCTCGTCCCTCTCGGAAGAACAACACGCGTCCTGTTGCATCAAGTGGTTCGGCCTGGGTATAGTTGCCATCGATGAACTTAGCGGCATCGCGCAAGTAACCGCCAACGGCACAAACACCACCACGTACTGCTACTCCTCCAGCCAGGCAGGTGGCGCCAGAGTCTAGGGCGACGCGGCTCCAGGTCCTTGTAACTGTGTGGTAGATAAGCACGCCAGCATGCACCACAGCCCTGCTCTGCTCCAGTGTGGTACCACCAAGCAAGTAGAGCCGACAGCGAAGGGCGGCGCAAGCAAATGAACGTAACGGTAATGGCAAACGAGGTCCTGATGCCCAGGTCAGCGCATTAAGGTCAAATCTTTCACATGTATCTAGGAATGCGGTTCGATTACAGCCACCGAGAGCGTATAAGAAACCTCCACAGCCAAGAAGACCCAACATCGCACGTGGTTCAGCCATCAATGGCCGTGTAATCCAGCGGTTTACCACAACATCGTACTCATGCAGTGATGAGGAGACCTGGCCACTTCGCAGGATGCCGCCTGCCACAAACAGTCGACCTCCAACAGCGATGCAGCCCGGGCAAAGCAGCGAGCTCAAGGCTGCCAGCTTCTCCCACTTCCCCGTACGAGGGTCAAAGCAATCCACCGTGAAGTCCCTGTCCTGTAAAGAATCATCCTCCCTCGGTTTAAGATCTACACAGACTATTTTCTTCTCAAACATGCCTTCTCGAGGCCTCAGCGGTCCACCCATGCCCTCGGTAATGGCTCGAGGCCCAAGTTCTTTGTTCATTCGGAGGTTCTCTTCAGGGCCCAAAAGGCCAGGACGTAAATGCCGTAACAAACTGGGCATGTGACTGTAACGGTCAGCGGGCTGGTATTCTGCCCAGCGCCTTGCAGCATCGTAAACTTCGGTCTCAGTCTCCACACCCAATCGATCAGACTCCAGCAAGCTGCCAAGAGTTCCTGGGTCCAACAGGAGGAAATCTCGCTGCCGAGACACTCGAGGGAAATGCTGACCCACCAACCTCAAAGAAGCCCGAAGAAGCAGCTGGTCATGATGTGAGCGAGCCAGAGAGTACATGCCCAGGCAATTCTCCACAGACAGGTGTTCAAAAAGGAACCTTTCAAACGGAAAGATAGAAACGTGAGCGTCAGCAAGACAAGCTACAAGGTAGAACGATCACAAAAACATGGCATGTAAATAATACCTTGAGCAAAGGTCCTGCAAGGGCATCACTTGAAGACGGTTGGCCGCTACAAACAAATCCTCTGCTGTGTCGAGACTAAGACCTGCTTCTCCTGTATAAACAAAGTGGATAACCGTCTCCATAACAAAGGGTGTCACCTCCTCCAGTCGGATCTCGGTAAGACGTGACTCCACGAGAGGACTGGTAAACATGGCACGGAAATACGGACTGACCGCTGCTAATAGAACTCTGGGGGAAGGAAAAGAAAGTGTTACATGTACACTAGCATTTTAAAGTTTGTGTTTTTTTAATGTTATACTCACCAAGAATGCTTTTATTTCATTAAAAATCCAGTATAATTTTTTGTATACATTTAAAAATATTAATTATTCCTGTGATGTGCTAGTGTATAATTTCAGGATACAAAATGCGTCATACGATACAATAGAATGTATGCCTTTTTTAAACGATTCTTGTTATGAAAATAAAACCT